ATCAAAAGTTATCATGTTAAATGTAGAACAATAAGTAAACACGAGCAATTATGTTGTGAAAACGGTAATTTGGTTGCTCATTTCGTGTTGCAATGGACGGGCTCATAAATGGCCTGTGCATGGTCCTCAAGAAAGCGCTGATTGGTACGATCAAACTTTCAACCCTTTCGCAGATGAGCGTGTTTCTGATGGTTTCAAATTTTGACAGTATTACTGCGAAAACGTGGCAAAATAGTTGTTCACTTCGTATGGTTATGGATGGCCTCTACAGTCGGAATATATATCAATGCCATTCCCTTTTAACAAAACGTGAAATAAGATCAGAACTCCAATACTTATGACGGTGCACATAACTACGAGGAAGTGCCAGTACGACCTCTTCGAAGGAGGCGAAGCACAGGTTTGAAAATAAACTTGAAAACCTCCTACCTTGTTCTTGTCATTTTCCTTCCCATAACATAGATTCTTAAGGCAAGCACAAGCATTCTTTTGTATGACTGGAAGTTCACTCCTCAGCAGCTGTATCAGCTTTGGAATGCCACCATATTCCCTCAAAAAATAAATACATATTTAGTGGGCAAGGGTGAGAACGAGAACTAAACCTGGTTTCGTCCTTGATCAGATTATCGCTGTACGTTAGGTGTTGCAGATAACCGCTGGCATTCAACTGCTTTTCTCTATCTGGATTATCGAGGTAGTCGATAACTTCTTTGAGCGAAGGATCGCGCCATTGCACTAAAGATAGGCCACATTTCAAATGTTTAAAAAAATCACTTTTGCAAGATGAGATTATACTGATACAGCCACGATGCCAAACTCAGTGCGATACTACGACAAATCCTACAATTGCCAGAACCTTTCCCTCGATGGAGAGGTGGAGGCGAGTCATCTCTTTCAGGAAGTGGCGGAGATTCTCGAATCATTTCCTCCTGAAGTAGCCTAATCGCTCCAAACCTTTCCGCCTCAACGTATTTCGCATCACCAGCTGCAACATAAAGCATGTCCCTAACAACACCATCACATCATAGCTATATACAAGCGAACCAAGGCTTACTTGCACTTGCATGGATCGTAACCGGCGGAGACGGTTCAGAAGGCTCCGAGCAGCCGACAACGTTGTGAGCCAACACTCGAAACTGATATTCATGTCCGACGATCAAATCGCCAACTAGAAACAAATAATCTTTGCAAAACTTAACAGAAGCGGAGAAACTGAAGATGACTGGGGACAATCACACAAACTATGGTGCAGAGTTTGCAAAGCAGGATTTGGCGTGGATTGATGCAAGCGCTTCAGGTCATTTGCGGCAGAGATAAGGGGATGCAAACAGAAAGCGCAATCAGCTAACCTAATATCTCGAAAAGATAGGATATATCCCAATCGATATGAGAGTGTGCAACGCAAAAGTAACTAGATGTTGTAGAAAATAATCAAAAACCTCTGATTTTACTTCTTCAGCTAAAATATCAAACAAAAAAAATGCGATAATAACTTTTAATGGGTAGTAATATATCAAAAAAGGAAAAGTGCAGCGAATTTATTTAAAGTTTCGAGTTCCAAAGGAAATCAAAGAGCTTTATCGGGAAAGAAGAAAAAGCAAAGGTGGCATTAGATCAGATGTGGTAACGGATGAAATTACATCTCCTAATTCTAAGAATCTCTACACATAAAGTGAGGAGAGACCAACGTTCAATCAATCAGAAACTCAAAAACATACTGATGTTCTATCGGCACAAACTTAAAAGTTGGTTCTAACCTGTCATTTTGCAGGCATGGACAGGCTGATCATTGACTTTATACCAACCCGCATCTTGTTGGAAGTCACGAAATTCGACATCGTAACCCTACAAGAGAAGATATGAGAATCAATGCAAACATTCACAAAGAAGAACATACCAAAACAGGAAGAGTGCTATGAGCTGGAAGCCAACATATCGTTATTCTTTCACCATCAATTTCTAAATATTCAGGAGCTTGAGGTCTCGCGGGAACACCGCGCATTGAGGTAGCTGAAATAAGCAATACACAACAATGTTTAGATAACGTCAAGATACTACAACCACACTTACGTTTCCAAAGTGGACGTAATGAGATGACATCAGACACTTCGGAAGGTACAGAGGCTGAATCTCCAGCAACACATATAACCCGAAATTCATAAGTAGAACCTGGGCGAAGCCCCTCCACTGAAAAAAAAGATTCATTGAGGTTATTACGTTAATGCGGCTAGTGTCTTAGAGACCTTGTCAATTTTCGGCAACATGTTGCAAATGAAATCACAGTATGAAAACATTTAGAAAAATGAGTGTTGAACATAAAGAAAAAGGACAAAAGCTTTCTATGGAATTTGTTACAAAACGAAGCACGAATTCATACCATGGATACAATTTTGGATGATAGGATGTTGATTAGCCGTGTACCAGTTTGGATCTCCAACTTCTCGAAATTCGACTATGTAACCTGCACCTTCATCGGATTGAGCCCACTCCAATTTTACCCATTCCATATCAGCTTCAACCAACTTAAAACGATTTTTTAGAAAAGATCAAGTGCAAATTTTAATTATTCCAAGAAGCGGCATCTACTCGTATCAGTTCCCTTATACTCAGTAACTGCAGTCCTCGCTGACCTGCGGTTGTCCTGGTGGTCGAAGACCAGCGGCAATAGGTCGTGAACCGGCTCCACGTTGTGGTGCTGCGGGCTTGATATGAGTAGCTCCCGAAGAGCGACTTGGTGCTCCTAAGCCGTCAGCATTTCGTCCACGAACTCGAAACTCATACACACCGTTCGGTCGAAGATTCTCAACTATAAAAAGCAATTCTGACTTCCAGTGGAGCAAAAAATGCATTCTAGGGATAACAAACCTGTATAGCTGCACTCTTGTACCAAAGTATCGTTCGCAACCATCCAATCAACAGTGCCGTAGACACGGTATTCCACCTAAGAAGATACGGTAAAAAGAGATATAAGCAATCTATGGTGAAGCTCACTTGATACCCTGCCAAAGGGGCAGATTTTGGATCGAGTGTAGGAGGGGACCACTCTATAGTAGCTCGATGACCATCAACGGATATCACCGCCGGCCGCCCAGGGGAAAGAGGAACCCCTTAAAGTATACTTTATGAAAAAAAA